TGTGTGGGGTGTGTGTGTGTGTGTGGTGTGTATGGTCTGGGGGATGTGTGTGTGTGGTGTGGGGGGATGTGTGTGTGGTATGTGGGGGTGTGGGGTGTGTGTATGTGTGTATGGTGTGTGTGGTGTGTATGGTCTGGGGGATGTGTATGTATGGTCTGGGGGATGTGTGTGTGTGGTATGTGGGGGTGTGGTGTGTGTGTGTGTGTGGTTTGTGTGGCATTCTTGGTGTGGTGTGTGTATGGTGTGTGTGGCATTCTTGGTGTGTATGTGTGTATGGTGTGTGTGGCATTCTTGGTGTGTATGTGTGTATGGTGTGTGTGGCATTCTTGGTGTGTGTATGTGTGTGTGTGGTGTGTGTGGCATTCTTGGTGTGTGTGTGTGTGGTGTGTGTGGCATTCTTGGTGTGTGTGTGTGTGTATGGTGTGTGTGGCATTCTTGGTGTGTGTGTGTGTATGGTGTGTGTGGCATTCTTGGTGTGTGTGTGTGTATGGTGTGTGTGGCATTCTTGGTGTGTGTGTGTGTGTGGTGGGGGGGGATGTGTGTGTGTGGTATGTGGGGGTGTGGTGTGTGTGTGTGTGTATGGTGTGTGTGGCATTCTTGGTGTGTGTGTATGGTGTGTGTGGCATTCTTGGTGTGTGGCTACATGTCTGCCCTCAGCCTCATGCCAGCATCCTGCAACAGGAATCCAAACCTGTCTCCTCTCTGGTTTTGGACAGTTCCTATCACCCTTCCTCCTTGAGGTCTGGCATCCTGTATCCTTCTCTCCACATATCTATCTCCCTCTTTCTCTCCCTGCCCCCTCTTTCTCCTTCTTTCTCTCCCCTCTCTCTTCCCCAATCCACCTTCTTCTCTTCTTTCCCTCCCTCTCTCATTCCTCTCTTCCCCTCTTCCTCTCTCTCCCTCATTCTCTTCCATTTCCTTCTCTCCCCTCCCCTCTTCCCCCTCTCTCTTTCTTTCTCCCTCACCCCTTCCCTTTCTTTCCTCATTCTCTCTCTCCCCCTCTTCCCCAGTCACTCTCCATCCCTCTCTCTTTTTTCTCTCCCTCCCTTCCTCCTTCTCCTCCCCCTTCTCTGTGTAGGTGGAGACCTGGACACCCCCCAGCCCATCTGCCGTACCCCGTGTGCAGGGCTAGGAGCTGTTCTGCGGAATGACTGATGCATGCTCCACAGTATGTCTCACCATGGTGGTGGGTTTTATAATTATGGTTCCTCTTGCTAATTTTAAATTTCAAATTTAAGTGCTTTATCTTTAGAGAAGAAAGAAAGCTGTGCACTTTGCAAAGACAAGTTTTGTAGTTGGAGCAAAGAAATTACTTTGTGACACCTTCGAAAATGGTTAGCTGGGGTCTGATGGCAAACAGAACAAGGTGTCTGGTCAAAGCCATCAGAAGGCATCAGGAGAGACAGTGTTGGCGGTGTGATCTCCCCGTCCCCCTTCCAGGCCGTGTCTTTGTGGTATAATTTCCCAATTCCCCTTCTAGGCCGTGTCTTCCGTCTCTCTCTCCGCTGTGCACCTCATCATTAAGTCAGAGACAGGAGAGGCGTTAGATCATCCAGATTGTTTCTTTGCAGGGCAGAATTGGTCCCTGGAGTAGATTATGTCTTCGCCTCGTCTGGCCTCGCGCGTCTCGGGAAACGCCACGGCTCCTCGGGGGACGTCTTCCCGTGGAGCGGCGGTGCTCGCCACCTGCTCCTCCTGATTACTCTGCCAACCCCTCCCCTCCCAATTTACCCCATTACCTCCTGCATCAGATCTCACCACCCTCCTCGCACACTCCCGTCACCCAGGCTGCGGTTCCCCTGCCGGCTGAGTCCTCACTGACAGAGCTTCTTCCCCTGCTCCCCGGCAGGCAGCTTGTGCTCAGGGGTGCTCATCCCTGGGGTCAGTGTCTCACCCAGCACGCAATCATCTCAGCACGTTTCAGCAGTCCAGTCGTGATTCCCAACCGTGGCCTGTGCCAGGAGGAAGTCGGGTGTCTCGGCTCTCTGTGGACAAGGACAGGAGCTCCTCAGTGCCTGCCTGGCACAAGCCAGTGCCACCCTCATTTCTGAGTATGGCGCAAGCATAGGTTACCTGCATTCCTGCGCCAGGGCTGGGGACGTGGACCAGACTCTGGGCCCTCATGTGGCAGGTCCAGAGTTTTCCTGGGCCAGCATTTCAGCATCCCAGGGCACCGGATGTAGCGCAGGACCTCTGAGTAGCATGAGAGCAGGACCCGGTTTCCTGGGAGCTGGGGTTCTGTCCAGCCAGCCAGGCTTCCTGCAGGGTGTCTGCTCAGGAGATCCTCATGGCCTTGCCTGCTGGGGAGTCCTGGAAGCAGCTCTGGAGTAAGAACGAGGGAGGAACCCACTCTGAAGATGTGGTGAGCGGGAGCAGAGCCCCCAGCCACACAGAGCCCCCAGCCGGGCAGAGCCCCCAGCCAGCCAGACAGAGCCCCCAGCCGGGCAGAGCCCTCAGCCAGCCAGCCAGAGCCCCCGGCTGGGCAGAGCCCCCAGCCGGACAGAGCCCCCAGCCAGACAGACAGAGCCTCCGGCTGGGCAGAGCCCCCAGCCAGCCAGCCAGAGCCCCCAGCCGGAGAGAGCCCCCAGCCGGACAGAGCCCCCAGGCGGGCAGAGCCCCCAGCCGGGCAGAGCCCCCAGCCGGGCAGAGCCCCCAGTCGGGCAGAGCCCCCAGCCGGACAGAGCCCCCAGCTGGACAGAGCCCCCAGCTGGGCAGAGCCCCTAGCTGGACAGAGCTCCCAGACAGAGCCCCCAGCCGGACAGAGCCCCCAGCCAGACAGAGCCCCCAGCCAGGCAGAGCCCCCAGCCGGACAGAGCTCCAGCCAGGCAGAGCCCCCAGCAGGACAGAGCTCCCAGACAGAACCCCCAGCCAGACAGAGCCCCAAGCCGGACAGAGCCCCCAGCCAGACAGAGCCCCCAGCCAGGCAGAGCCCCCAGCCGGACAGAGCTCCCAAACAGAGCCCCTAACCGGACAGAGCTCCAGCCAGGCAGAGCCCCCAGCAGGACAGAGCTCCCAGACAGAACCCCCAGCCAGACAGACCCCCAGCTGGGCGGAACCCTGCCTGCCTGCTGCAGGCCCCAGAGCCACACCAGGAGGCCCAAGCAGAGCCTCCCATCAGGGTTGGATGGGAAAGGCAGCCTGTACAGACAGCACACACACACACAGCTCCCGACACTGGGGAGGGCTATGGAGACCCAGAGCAGCCACACCTCATCTGCTAGAATGAGAGGCTCTTCACAGGCTTCTGAGGAATCACAGTGGTCAGGGGTGAGAGCCCACCCCTGCCCCTCCTCAGGCTCAGAGCACCTACAGGCCGTGTGGATGGTGGAGGCCGGGGCAGGGCCCTGGCACCTGCCGCCTGGGTCCCAGTCCCACACTAGTGTTTGTGTCTCACCCCAGAGCCTTGGCACGCCCTGCATGGTCTTAGCAGGCCATCACAGGCCAGGCTTCACACCAGGAAGACTTCCGCCCCAGGACAGGCTCACAGTGCATGAGGAGTGTCCCAGGCAAGTCCTGGAGCTGAGCAGCAGAATGGGCCCGAGGTGGGGAGTCTGATGACAGGCCTCAGGGCCAAATCACTGGCCTAGGGAAGAACTCAGGAAGTCAGAGCTCTGGAGAAAGAAGTTGGGCCGGAAGTCACAGATGGGGTGGCAGGAAGAGCAGGTTCAGGGCAGGGGGGGAAGGGTCAGTGGCCCGTGGCAGGCTGTGGGTCACTGAGGAGACTGGACCCTTCTCTATGGTGCCCAGCTTCCCGGTGCCCCAGGGTGCCCTTCTCCCCAGAGAGGCTCTCCCAGCACAGGCCTGCTGGTGACCTGGCTCCCCAGGCTGGAGTGCCACAGAGAGGAAATGGGCTGCTCCCCGTCCCCTCCTCTCCCAGGAATCTGTGTCTCAGCCAGATAGCTGGGGATGTGTGGTGGAGGGAGGGGCGGCTGACAGTGCTGCATGAAGGTGACCCCCAGCCCTCTCCCCAGGTCTGTAATGAGCTGCTGTCTGGAGCCAGGGAGGGGCTGGGCCCGGAGGCCGAGGAGCAGCTTGGAGTACCCTGCAGCATCTTCCCGGCCACCATGGTGCAGTGGGACACCGCTGGCCAGCCGCAGAGAGGGCTGCTTCGAGAGGAGAGGCTCTGAATGTGTTGCCAATAGCAGAGGGAGCATCCCACCCCCAGCTGACAGGGAGGATTGTTCCTCCAGGCCACGTGGAGCACTGGAGGCCGATGGTGGCCTCTGAGACAAAGGAGGCCTCTTCAAGAACCAGCCTCCGGCCCCTTCCTGTGAGAGGATCCCCCGCCAGGTTCTCGGGGGATTTCTGTCCCCATGCATCCTGCACAGGAGCACGCGTGCAGGACAGAAAAAAAGCATCCACAAGCTATCAAACCCCAGGACAGGACCAGCACACAAGCAGGAGGTCTCCACGGAGTATGCCGGAGACCTCGGGTACCACTCTCCTCTGCCTCCAAGCTCCTCCCCAGCTGTCCTTAGAAATGCAAAAGAGATGCTTAATAATTGATAGGCAAGAGCCTCCGCTGCATTATTAAATGCCCAGATGCTCGGCTAGCCCAGCCCAGAGAAGAGAGGAAATAGAACAGCTCTCGGAGCTGTTTGTAGTTGCCTTGGCATCCTCATCGCCCAACCCTGAAAACAAGATGGAGCCCTGAGTCTGTGCTGAGCTCCTGAGTCTGTGCTGAGCTCCTGAGTCTGTGCTGAGCTCCTGAGTCTGTGCTGAGCTCCCACCAGCCAGAAGACAGGCGTATCTCTTGCCTGAGGTCACAGGGAGGCCATCTTGACTTCAGGGCCCCTGTCCAGCTGCTGGGTAGTGGGGATGGGAAACAAAAGACTACACACGGTCACCGGGGCCTCTAGGGGTCACCTGGGAGCCGACAAGTGAGGGAGGAGCAGGGGGCTCACCGCACTCCATGAGCCGTGGCCGGCAGAGGCTCGGCAGGCAGTGGGTACCCCAGGGTGCAGCTGTCAGGAGGTCCCCGTCCTGCTGAGCCGTGTGCTTTCCGTGGCTGGAGTGGTTCAAATGTGGCAGGCTTTGTAGAAGTACAGAGAGGAAGTGTGTCCTAACTGGCGGGAGTAACTGGAGAGTTAGAATTTCTTTTCATTTCTGGTGCTCCACTGATAAGAAAATATGGAAACAAGGAGATCTAGGATTCCTGTCTTTGGTGCAGAAAACCCCTCATGTCTGCCGGAAGCCTGCGGGGTGTGGGGGGGGGGAGGCTCAGTGAGAAGGGGAAGCAAGTGGCTGTGGCTCAAAGAAAACCGAGTCTCTCACATACATTACACACACACACACACACACACACACACACCACATAACACACACACAACACACACACACAACACACACACATACCACACACACATAACACATACACACACAACGCACACACAACACACACATACACCACACAAAACACATACACACACACCACACACAGCACACACACAACACACACACAACACACACCACACACACAACACACACATACCACACACCACACATAACACATACACACACACCACACACACACAACACACACACAACACACAACACACACACACCACACACACATACCACACACAGCACACACACAACACATACACAACACACACACAACACACACATACCACACACACAACACACAACACACACACAACACATACACAACACATACACACCCCACACACACATACACACCACACACACACACAAACACACCACACACACATACACACACACATACACACACCACCACCCCCACAACACATACCACACACACACCACACACACATACCACACACATACCACACACACACCACACACAGCACACACACGACACACACACACAACACACACCACACACACACAACACACAACACACACATACCACACACACACCACACACCACACACACAACACATACACAACACATACACACACACCCCACACACACACCCCACACACATACACATACCACACACACATACCACACACACACATACACACACACACACCACACACCCCCCACAACACACACCACACACACAACACACACACACAACACACACACATACCACACACACACCACACCCCCCACACCCACACACCACATACACACTACACACAGCACACACACACACACCACACACCACACACACACACCACACACACAACATACACACAACACACACAACACACACCACACACACACAACACATACACACAACACACACAACACACACACACATACACACACCACACCCCCCACAACACACACACAACACATACACACAACACACACAACACACAAACCGCGCACACACACACCACACACACACCACACACACCACACATACACACATGCCCCACACACCCCACACACACTCCACACATACATACACACACCACATACAAACCACACATACCCACACACACATAACACACACTGCACACACCCATACACACACCACACACCACACATACCACACACCACACACACACCACACACAAACACACACACATACACACACCACACACACACCCGCCCATACACCACACACACTCCACACATATACACACACCACATACACACCACACACACTGCACACACATACACACACCGCACACACATCCATACACATACCACACACACACACCACACACACACCACACCCCACACACACATATACACACACCACACATACACCCACCACACACCACACACACACTGCACACACATACACACACACCACACACCGCACACATACACACACCGCACATACAACCACACACCACACATACAGACACCACACATACCCACACCACACACACATCACACCACACACACACACTACACAGACATACACACACCACAGACACACCACACACACCACAGACACACACACCACACACCACATACACACCACACACCACACACACACACGACACACACACACTGCATACACATACACACACCACACACACTGTACAAACATACACACACTGTACACACAACACCCATACCACCCACACACCACACACCACCCACACACCGCACACACATACACACATACCACACACACCACACACACATACACACACACACCACACACACATACACACACACCACACACACATACACACATACCACACACACATACACTACACACACACACACACACACACACACAATGATAGCATGCTGAAGCCCAAATGGAGAGGAAGGAGGAGTCAGGCCAGTGTAACACACTGTAGAATGGGGTAAACGTGTTCAACCTTCACTGCACACGGCTATCGATGGATTGGGATAACCTTGTTGCTCAGATGCATGCTGGTACAATGGTTCTTTTTTGCTTTTGCTGTGGGCCGTGGGCTTGGCGCTGGCCCTGCGCTCTTCCACTCCAGGTGAACGCTCTACCACCTGAGCCCCAGCCCACGCCCACAGAGGCCTCTCAAGCGTGGGTGGGAAGGGGCTCCCGGGGTGATGGGTGAGCTGACTCCAGACTCAGACCCAAGGGGGCTGAGCTCTTACTTTCTCTCATGGGGTTGGCGGCCACCCCACGCAAGTGCAGGTCTTCTGAGCAGCCCCCGCCGCCCTACCCAGTGGCCCCACCCTCGGAGCGGGCTGAGGCAGGCTGTGTCCGGAGGTGAGCCTCGGGAAGGCAGGCACTTTGCCCATCCATCCCTCACCTTGCCTGGAGGACAAATAATACATCTTTCTCCATAATTAAAAAGGAAAGCTTTCGTAGATACACTTTATCTCATTTTTAGCCTTCTCACGACCAACTGGGCAGACACTCAGTGAAGCGTGAGGCCCGGACGGACAGCCTCACTTCAGAACTGGAGCAGGCTCCCAGCTGGACTTCCACAGCAAAGACTGAACAGAGACCCTGCCCAGGTCGCTGGCCCCTAGCAGCCCCTCCTCCCTCTGCCCCAGCGACCCCCTCCCCTCCGCCCTCCCTCT